CAGTTTACACTCATCTACAGGCCAGGACTCTACAGTTTACACTCATCTACAGGCCAGGACTCTACTCTTTTTGATTTTTTCTACCTGGATTACTGAGATGCATCAGRACWCTATAATGCTCTATTTCTCAACACAAAGATGATCTTAGTCTAAAACTTTGCTGTAAAAATAATAATGTGAGCGATATTAAATGTTTCAAGGAATTCTAAGTTTTTAATTTTACTAACATACCGTATGTCCTGTGTGGAACTAAATTTGAACTTTTCTAATTCACTAAATTTTCTATTTCAAGAATAAAGAACCTTTAGCTCATTTTGATTAACAAATGGCTTTAACTTCAAAACAATCTTTTTGAAAAAATTTCCCCAAACACATAGTTTTCCCTTTAAAATGACATAAAAGAGTRTTCTCTCTAGTTCAGCTTTAACTCAGCCATCACGTCATCATACTGTTTCTTCTTTAGATCCATAAAACTGYTTGTAGACAGATTTACAGCTGCTGACATGTTCAGATGTCATTTCCACCCTTTCAAGGGAACCCACCCTTTTAGAGGCCAGGTACTCCATCCCTCGGGCCACCTGGTAAGCACAAGACAGCAGGTCTTTGAAGGTGAGCTGCTCCTCGGGTACTTTAGTCACATCAAAGGTGTAATCCATGCCTGGAGGTCTCCTGGCCCGCAGGTACTCCCTCAGACTGCCTTTGGAGGCGTATTCCACCAGCACATACAGAGGGCCTGTGGAGGAAGGGGATACAACAGGATAAAGGGCTGTTTGTGTTTTTACTTTAGCCTCAGGGTTTGACATAAACCTCATTCACTAAAAGCACAGGAAGAGGCTCACCATCCTGTGTGCAGACCCCCAGGAGGTTGATGATGTTCTTGTGTTTGTCCATCACCTTCATCAGCTCCATCTCCGAAATCAGGTCGGCCAGGTCTTTGTCCGTGGCATCATCTAAGGAAAAGGTTTTATCTTTTAGACACGCGTCTTCTCACACGCGGCAAACTAAAACAAGTCTTTTATTTTTACCTTTGAGCATCTTGACYGCCACAGTGGTGGCCTGGTCCGGACCGTCTTTGTTGATCCCAAAGGCTTCGGCTCTGACCACCTGACCGAAACAGCCTTCTCCTAAAGGTTTTCCCAAAGTTAAACTAGAGAGAGAGAAACATCAAGAGAAAATAAGTATGTCCAAATTAAAACTGAACAAATCCATAATTTGGACCTCTGGTTTCTTAAAACTACAGGTTGAAAAGAGCCAAAATTGGGCTACACACTTTTTTTTAACTCCCCACATGATTCGAGAGCTGCAGTTTTTATTGAGTCTGCATCTTAACAGCCACAGGAAACGTATATTGCCTTCAGGCTTCTGAGACTCTGCAAACTTGAGATTATTTTTAAAAATARAAGTGATTTCAAAATGGAGTTGCACAATATTTTGTCGGAGCATTGTACAAGAGCGCAACAGTCACACTGCAGGTCCTAAAGTCGGAGGCAAATTAAAGCAAAGTGTTATTCAGGGACTAAACCACTAAACCATAAGTCATTGCACTACCAATAGTCATTGTACTAACAATACATGTACCAAACCGTATCGAACAGTTCTTTAGGTACAATACACACTTGTATGGATCAATACAGATTTTTAAAATTAATTTTA